AAAAAGATGTTCTGGTCAAGTAACATGAGCAAGGGATAACCAAATGCCTGAACGCAACACTGGTAGGCCTAGGTAAGACATCCTCGGTATATCCTTCTAACAGTATATCTTGTTTTATGATCTTAATACATTAATGGGAGACATTCTTGGAGGAGAACCTTTAAGGATATATTCTGTTCTACCAAACACCAAACACACACACACACACACACACACATATACACATACACATATATACACAAACATATACACACACATATACATATATATACATATATTAATTATCAGCAAATAGTAATCACAATGTCCTATTTTCTGCACCTTTCAGTGCAGAAGTGACCATAAAGATGTAGTCTGCTGCAGAAAATTATTTGTGAAAATCTGTCAATTCCATTTATGTTTTCAGCAGAGCTAACTTTGATACGTATTTTACTCATTGTCATAAAGCCTTATCGAGAGCTTTTTTTTCACTTTTATAAATTTATTTATTTTTAGTTTTCAACATTTACTTTCACAAGATTTTGAATTCCAAATTTTCACCCCATCTTGCCCCTCCCCCCACCCCAAGATGGTATGCATAGAGAGCTTTCTTCTGTTCTTTTTGGCCACCCTTATATGCTGTGTCCATAGAGTGAAAATCACAGTTCACCTACAGCATGGATACCACGAACTGAATTGGTGAGAGAGGAAAGACTTTCTTCCCCTGCTCTCCCTCTTTTGCCCTACCTCTGAGAAATGGGCCTGGGGGTGTTTGTTTCTGTTCTGTGCTGCTTGTTCTCCTCAGTTTCAGGCAGACGTGATCTACATAGGATCCAGGAGTTAGAACCATGATGACCTTGGAGGCAGGCAGGAAGGTGCAGATAATCAGCCTAGCACAGAAGCCATGGCACCTTGAACCTGAGGCCAAGGGAAGTTTTGGACTTAAAACTGTGACTGTGTTCTATAACAGGTCTAAAGTATAACTTTTCCCTCCCCAAAGACCGAGGTGGTACACAAAGAAGGAAAGGTTATAACTCCTACATGTTAGGGGAATAAATTTATGTATTTCTGATTACACATTAAAAAGTAAATATTTCTATGAAAAAAGATAAAAAAGACTTTATAGATATCAGATAATATATATGATATATAGTAAATTCTGACATCCTCAATCAGTCGTAATATCATGCATGATTATTCCTAGTTATTAGGTATCTTACTGTTCAGACATGTTGGGAATTTATCCTTCAATGCTTTTGAAACTATGTTGCCTGCAGCCTGGATTTCTTTTTGGTAGCCAGTCATACTGCTATTATCATCAGTCCTTTTTGTTTTCCTTGCCATTAATACTTCCTCATGTAAGAGACTAAGAATCCAGGGTCACCTCTATGCCTCCTGGATAAGACATGGGAATAAGATTTTGTGTAGTGCACAAAGTAACAAAAATTAAATTAAGAAAATGTAGAGGTACTTAGAGCAACTACTTGAATGAAAAGGCATGGGAATGGTTTATAATCAAACTTTCAATCATTTTATGTTAATGGGCCTTTCCAAAGAGGTTAGGATAGTTTGAAGAGTTGGCTCAATCATTTAAAACTTTACCAATCTAAATCTTTTTTCTCGCATTCTTAATTGTTATAAATGTGAAATCAGTACAATTTAAGTTTTTTTAAAATAAATTTAGAATATGTAAAAAAAAATTACACAGGTCAAAAAATTTTACATTACTCAGTACGCCTTAGAAATAGATGGAGAGAAGTTGAAAAATCATTTCTTTCTGGACAGGAGAAATAAAGCATAAAAGTGAACTCCTTAAAAAGGCTTTTAAGAGAGCTTTAATCAACTGAAAAGGTTTAGCCAAAATAAGACAACAGTCTCAAATTTACCATATTCCTCCTCTCTTTGATTTCCAATTGGTTTTCTAAGTAACTGGCCACTAGAGAAATAAAATTACACATACTATCATATATATGGTTGCTCAATGAAAGGATAATGGACAATACTGGTAAGGCTTTGAAATCAAGTTAGTCTGTGATTCTATCATGACATTAAATAATCTATAGAATGCTTGGCTTGAAATTGGGAAAACCTAAGTTCAAATTCTCCCTTTGACACTTAACTTGCTCTGTGACCATAAAAAAAAGTCACTCTCACAAAATGAGAATAATAATATCTATAATCTCTACTTGATAGGGATGCTATGAGGAGCAAATGAGATAATGGATGCAACATACTTAGAAAAATGAAAAGAGATATATGATATCAGCATTATAACTGGTATAGATGCTCCCTTCACAGATCTAAACTCACTGAAGGTCATGGGTTACCACGGCCCAACGATTCATTTACTCAGGGATCAGTTTTCTAGTGAGTAATTTCTTTGTCCTTAGTAAAGCTGGTATTCAAGCATAAGATACAGTGTGGCACCTACACTGTATCTGAAGCTTTTATAGTCTGGCAGAAACTGACAGAGCTTGCGATCCCCAAGGGCATACCCAGGTTTTGTACTGTGACAAGGTATTAGAGGAAGTTCTTGAAAAGTTCTTTTTTTTTTTAAACATACAACAGGAAATCACAATTAAGAGGCATTTTGATGGAAACTCATTTACAAAGTTAAAAATCATTTTAATCTGTAACTTACTGAACATAACTTCTTCAGGCACAAAACTGACCTACTTACTGTTTCCTGAATTTCCTGTCTCCATGTCTTTGAAGGGATTGTCACTCATGCATAAAATGTACTCCTTTCTCACCTCTGTGTCTTAGAATCCTTAACTTTCTTTATGGGTCAGTTCAAGAGCCACCTCCTACAAAAGAACTATCCTAATCCTCCAATTTCTAGCCCCTTCATTCCTCCCACCCTGGAAATTGCTTGTTCTGCATTTACTTAGCTGTTTTGTTGCCCTCTCCCAAAAAGGACATTAGTTCCCCAAGGATAGAGACTATTTTGTCTTAGTACCTAGAACAGTGTCTAGCACATAGCAGACAATAAAATAAAAGCTTGTTGAATGAATGAAATGCTGTATTTGTAGTCAAGAAGACTGATTCACGTCATTACCTTCCACCCTTACTAGCTATATGACTATGTTCAAGTCAGTTATTTATAGGAAGACAGATCTTGAGCTGGAAAGGGTCTCATAGAGTCCAATTCTTCATTTGACAAAGGAGGAAAGCGAGTGAAGCCAAGGAGGTTAGGTGACATGCCTGAGGTCATGGAGAGCTGCATACTCTTTGAGCCTCTAAACAGGGCTTATAAAATGGGGAAAATCAGAAGTGTAGCACCTACCACAAAGGCCTATTAGGAGGATGTTAGGAAATAATGCACAGAAAGCACTTTGAAAACTTGAAAGCACAATATAAATGTTGGTTATTATGATGATGATATTTCTAACATATTTTATAACTTCAAATTTCCATACTTAATTCAACATTTGCCTGAATCTGTGATCTTATTATGCAATCAAATGAAATAACATATACAAAGTTCTCTGAAAACATTAAAGCACTACTATATAAATGCTAGTGATTATTGTGTGTATTCCCTTTAATAATGCAGATCAAAACATCTTCTCATTCTTTGTGATTTTTGTCCATGCACTCCTATAAATCCTCCATGGATGATCTAGTTAATCTACTAGAAGCTTTATTCTAGGTCTTTTGAAATCTTTTGACATTTGGAGGTGGCTTTTGACACTGGTACCAGTAAAGAACTCAAGCTATCCATCTGTTATTTCTCACTCTGACACATATCCATCTATGAAAAGTAGGCCCTAATTGCCTGGAGAATGTCTTTTATGCCCCTCTTCTTTGTAAATCACTATTTAAAAATATATTGTAAGCTACTCCTACCCACAATGCATTTCTCCATTCCCCTTTGGATAATTCACAATTTTGTTATTTTGAGATCATAATGTTCCATAATTCACAGCTATACTGGAAAAACGATGCTTTTAAAGAAGATATGTTTTTGGAGTCAGAGAGAAGTTTATATTGTTGCAGGTTCTAAAGTTTCCTAGATGGAAAGCAGCCTACCCTCTTCCTTCTATTCAATTTCGAGACCATCTAGTATCTGTCCAAGATATATGGTCTGATTATCCATCCAAATTCATGTCACATATTTGAAAACAGGAATTCTTCATTCACTTCTTTTTTCTATATGTATTACTCTGTCCAGTTCTTTTGAGTGACCACAAATCTCAGTGAGATGACCCTGAAGAATTCATTCAGAAACAACATAGGAAGACCTCACTCACTCTAGGGAATTCTCCTTCTATTGGACTCTAAACAGTTTATCTTCCATGACAGTGTTGAACAGTTTTGGTAAGCATATCTCCCTCTTCTATGCCTAGCTTGATAACTGACATTCGGAAGGTTGATGAACAAAAATTATTTCTGAGGCTGTATCTATAAAAGAATCTTGTATGATTATAGAGGTGATCTATTAAGGCTAAAGTTTACTCTATTAAGTCACAACTTTTATATTCACTGCACTTTCAGTTACCTACACAACTATGCAGAGGCAGTCTTCTACAGAAAATCAATTATGAAAGCCTGCAGTTGTCAAATTTTCATCAATGGAATTTCACGTATAGATTTATATTATAAATATATATATATATGTACATATATCATATAGCATAACAAAAAACTGAAGAGGAGAACCTGACTCAGAGTACATTAGAAGGAAAACATTAGAAATAGTAACATTGTGGGTAGTATGTGGACAAAGCACAAGGGTTCAGAATCCTTTGAAAATTTTGTTTTAAAATAATATCAAAACGGGTAGCTAACTTTTTTAATGGCAAAAAGTGGGATGGAAAGGAAATTGGGGTAAAAAAACAAGGCAAAAGATAGAAGACAAAAAAATATTTAAGAGAGAGAAGCTGCTATAATCTGTGCATCTTGGGACGTTTAAAGGACTAAAGTTTCCTGAATTATGAAACTCACAGCAGCTGTGACTGAAAGCCAGGAAACTGAGGGGCAGAAACAAAGTGACCTCCTTGAGTGGTGTATGTACTGACCTGCAAAAGTTGTGTTGCTGTGGCTCTCTGCTCAGGACTCTTCACTAAGCACTTCTTGACAAAATCTGTGAACTCATCAGACCAAAGTTCTGGTTTCCGGAATGTTGGTGGTGGATTTGTGGGAATCATAAAAATAGCCTAGTAAAAAAAATAAAAATCCCAAATCAACAGGTGAAAAAAAATCTGCAAAAATCACAAGAGCACAGTCAAATAAACAAATCTCCTTATCCACCTTGGTTATCAGACTCTGAATCTGAAGAACAAATTTTAACTGGTCTAAGATTTCCAGTAAGATTTAGATTCAGGAAGCAAGTCCATCTGCTACCAATGTAGCCACTTCCCATTAAATTTCCTCTATTTAAACTGCATCTCATTGAGCACATCATTCTTTATTTTATCTATTAGTATTGATCAGTCTCCAGAGAAGATTTTTCATTTCTGACCCTCTTAACAAACTAAGTGCATTTCCTGGTTAAACATATTCCTCTTAAATTCTGCTCCTGAAATCCAGATACACTTCCCACCTCTTAATTATGTGTAAGTGTATCAGTTATGTACAAGCATAGAAGCCTAAAAGGTCAACAGCAGTCTAATTTTCCTCAATGATCACAAACATTCCAAGTGATTAAGATATTATGGCTAGGATTTAAAATAAAACTTGACCATATTCACTCCATATTTTGATATGGAACAGATGATCTTTGATAACTCTACTCTTTTTCTAATATATCTTTTTCCAATGCAGCAAGAATAATCTCTCTTAAGCAAAGATAAGCTTCCACTCAAATGTATTTAGGGATTCCGTAAGTTCAAACTTTTTGACCTGAAACCATACTCTTCCAATCACATTTTATATTATTCCCCTCCATATCTTCTACAATCTTGCCAAACTGTGCTGCTCTCTAACCCAAAACATGACCTATGCTTGCCTTCTTGGATATCTTTTCTCTCTATCTCTGGAATTGCCTTTCTTTTCTTTCTCAATGAATTTCTACCCTTTAAAATACAACTCAAATGCTGGGTTGGTTTGTTTTCTACAAAGACTTCCCTGGATTTGCCCCACCTCCTCACCTGCCTAATAATATTTATTTCCATCTCAAAAAGAGCTTTGTTTTACAATATCTAATATACCTATCAAGGAATATTGTATTTTACAGTGATTTGTGTTTATGACATATCCCTTATTAATCTATAAGCTCCATGGTGGCTAATAATCTATCTAAAATTTGTCTCTCCCCAGAACCTAACACAATGTTATAGTAGGCACTTAATAAGTGTCTGTTACTACTCTATTAAAATCATAATTAGCAATTAATAAATTATAAAACTTCAACACTCAACTACACACACACAACTTGAAATAATGGAGGGGTCATTGTACAAAAAGATTAATTGCACGAAGCAAAAGGAAGAAAGAAAGCATTTTGTAACCATTCTGTTTATAGATCAAATTCCAGCAATAATTTTATTTTTTTTTAAATTAGGAGCAATTGCCAAATCAGTAACTTCATGTAGAATTTTTCCATTTTTTTCCCAATGGCTTTGTTCTAGAGGCAGCATAGTGACTGTAAAGAGCCAATTACCAGGACTCTATCTAGTTATACATAGAACATTTATGGGCTTCATTTTCCTTATTAGCAAAATAAAAGATTATATTATATTAAATGATCTCTCGTGTCCCTTTTGGCTCCAGAATTTTAGTATTCTAATAAGTTTTCTGGGTTGATAGAGCTAGTTATTATTCTCATTAGAAAACAAGGCCTCTCTTCTGAAGAAACGAGAATAAAGACAAAGAGTGCAAGTATCTTTCTTATAATATTATGTGATTACAAACTTAAAATAGAAAATAATTGCATAATTTGCTACATGTAATTGATGTATTGCTGAAAGAATTCTGGTTAACAGTTTTATAAATGCAAGTCAGATTTTAAAAGCATGAAGAAAGCTTATACAATGTGTAAAAGAAGAATCATTTATACATTATAATTTGAATTTTTCATTTAAAGCAAGGCTCACTAGTAATACAGAAATTTGAACACACAGAATAATTAGTGACATAGGGTGTAAAGCAGAGGTCCAAAGACAACCTACTATAATGAACAGGTAAGAACAATCAGAACTCAACTTAATAAGTGATATTAAATGAGGAATTCTCTCTGTTCTCTTGGTAATTTATATACCATCTAGTAATTTTGTTTATTCTAATAATTTACTTAGCAAATCCTTTCTTTATAGATAAGCATTTCTAAACATAGAAGAGGTCAATTGCCTGTGACAGATATAAACTAGGCTTTAACTCAGCGGTCATGAGTAGGTCAAGGTGGATGAAAAGCCAGGAGAGATGTTTTTGAGTCTACATGGATGTGTACATACACCCACCAGTCAGGTGGAATGCAAACAAAGGCTTCTTGTAGACTTGGTTAAGTAACACAGGACTGAACGTTGCTTGACCTCTTCTACAGTAGCTGTGGCTAAACTAGAAATGTCTAACAGCTTCTCAGCAGGGGATGGAGCTTTCTGTTCCTTTTCTCCCTTGCCCTTTACCACATTCTTCGTATCTTTTACTCCTTTCATATACATATACTTCGGGTACAGATTTGATTAAATGACAAATGGATTCCAAGCAACAGGAAAAAGAAAATCAGTAAGTAACAAACTTAAGAAAAAATATTTAAGGGAACTTAAAAATTGCCTGAGAACATACAGCACAGTTTCAGTAGGCATGCATAGGTTATAGACACATTTAATGCAAATTAATTTGTGTGCCTAATATTTTCATACAGGTAACATAATACCACTATATGAATACTAGGTCATAACCACATATTCTATAGTTGAAGATGAATTGCCCAACATTTAAAGAAACTTTCAGATTATATGTGGAAAAAATATAAAGGGAAAACAGTAAATACAGTGAATTGTCATGGATATTATCATATACTCACATGATCATCCTCAAATATTGTTTGTGCACTATAAATTTGGGAACATTTTGCAGTCATGTTTCTGAAATATTTTCTTGTAATACACTTTATAATAATAGCTCCAATTTGTACAGTTCTTTGCTGGTTGTAAAATGCTTTCTTTTGTACCCACAGCATTTAGCAAGCTCAATAAATGCTTGTTGACTTGACTTTTCCTTACTACCCTATAAGTCCTTCCCACATTTATCAGATGAGGAAACAATGGTTCAGAAAGATGAAATAATTTTTCAAAGGCCACAGTACAGTGGCAGAGCCAAGATATCTTTCTACTATATCACAATGCCTTCCATTTATTGCAATCAACAAATCAACCTTGATAACTGACCACCTCTCAGGAAATATAAAAGCAAGAACCAACTTAGGTAACAGTTTTATCACCGTCATTTGATATAGAGAATGATGGCATACTATCTGTTCAGTCATTTCATATGTATCAGAGAATGATGAACCTAGGAATGTTAAACAGAACCTTAAAGACCAGAGTGGTAAGAATGACAGCTTTTCCCTAGTTCCTAGTCTAGTTCCAAGGTAGAGGGTGAAGTAAAAGCAAGATTTAAACTCTTAAAGCAAGGCAGGGACAATTATTCCAATAACAGGAATGGTTGGCAGAAAAAAAATCAAGATGATATGATTAGAACATGGATAACAGCTTGAGGTATGAAAATTAATGAAAAAGGAACAAATTAACAAATTCACTTAAGCATTTAGTATTAAATAAATGCTTATTAATTTGACTTAAGTGAGAAAGATGATTTAGTAAAATATTCTAAGTCAAAAGATATTAGAGAAAATGAGAGACAATATTTATTTTCTAACTCATCATCATGATCATTTTTTGAATGGGCTAATGACAGTACACTATGACATCTAAAGTAACTACAAAAGGATTTTTTTCTTTAAAGGAAAATGAATGCAAACATAATACAAGACTTATGATGCTAAGGAATAACAAAACCTTCTCATGAACAAAACCCATCTTCTTTCAGGATATAGCACTAGTCCTTACACACATGGAAACCTTATCCAAATGTACTAAAAATAACAAGAGCATCATAAAAAAATACCCTTCTAAAACAAACAGGCATATAAATCATGCAAGAAATACTTATTAAACATGTATGAACTTTGTAGTATTCTATGTGGAGTGGAGTAAGGAAGTGAAGGTTACAGAAGAATAGCTTCAAATACAGCTACAACTGTAGCTCAGAAAGCTTCCAATCTGGGCAGGGAGTAAAAATCAAAACACTCAAAATAATTAGAGAACAATTAAGTGCTAATGACTCTTCACTAAAATCTAACTCCAAAACTTTACCATAATGTAGGGGAAAATCTGGGCTCTGAAAAGTAGCTATGTCATCAGGATTATAAGTTCTAACAATGGCAAAATAGTATTGCCCAGGCAGAGATTATGAGTCTGTCCTCTAATAACCAACCCAATTAAATACAGGAAGATTCATCACCAGAAGGTTGACTACCAAATGGTAATAAAAACAATTGTTATTATTTATTTTACTACAAAAACTCCTTTTTTTCTTTTTTGTAATTTTTAAATTGATTTATTTTGAATTATCAACAATCACTTCCATAAGCTTTTGAGTTTTAAATTTTTCTCCTCCACCCTCTCCACCTCCTTCCCCAAGATGGCGCACAATTTGATATTAGCTACACACACACACACACACACACACACACACACACACACACATACATATATTCCTATTAAACATATTTTCACATTAATGATGTTGTAGGTAAGAATTAGAACCAATAGGAGGAACCACCAGAAAGAGGAAACAAAACACAACAGTAGGGAAAAAAATAGCAAATAGTATGCTTTGGTCTGCATTCAAACTCCATAGTTCTTTCTTTGGATGTGGATAGCACTTTCCATCATGAGGCCTTTGGAGATGTCTTAGATCCTCAGATTGCTGAGAAGAGTTAAGTCTATCAATATTAGTTATCACACAACGTGGCTGTTACTGTGTACTACAAAAACTCTTGAAGACTTCTATACCATTCAAACTGATTGAATCATGGATTTATGAAGTACTAAAGTACTACAGGATTGAATTATGGATTTTATGAAGTATTAAAAGGCTAAGCTATAGGATACATTAGACATCTGTGATGTAGCAGAAAGTGACTAAGTGACTT